ACCCACGAGGAAACCAAGGCCCAGATGAGGGGTTGTTGGTGGTCTTCAGGGACAGAAGAAGCCAGTGAGGAAGGGCTGGTTCCTCTGGGTGAATGTGATCCAAAGCCAGAGTTTAAACTTCTCATCTTTCAAGGTGTAGCCCTGAGAGTCATTTTCTAACCCTCCCTCTCCTGTAGCTGTTGGATTTGGTGCTTCCGAGGGGCTCCCAGCTCCCCATCCTGGCCTCTGCCCCAGAACAGACTATACTGTGTAGTTGTTGCCTCCTCAAGGGTGAATCCAGGTTCATGTCCTCTCTGAGTCCCCAGGGCCTAGTACTGACACCTTTGCAGGCCCTTCTTGGCCCTGAGCTGCTGTGTCCATTCCCCCGTCCTCCACCTCAGGAATCCTTAACTTCTGTGCCAACAACTACTTGGGCCTGAGCAGCCACCCCGAGGTCATCCAGGCAGGTCTGCAGGCCCTGGAGGAGTTTGGAGCTGGCCTTAGCTCTGTCCGCTTCATCTGTGGCACCCAGGTACACAGTAGGTGTTGCCCAGGCCGGGGATGGGCGGGGGAGGAAGGGGGGTGGTCCCCAGCGTTGGGCGCTGACTCCAGATGTCTGCTTCTGCCGTTAGCAGGGCTAGTTTAGGCAGCTCAGCTCATCCCACTAGAGCTGTCCACTAGAAAGGCTGGGTTCAGGCTTCTGTTTTGCTGTGAAGCCTTGGGCAAGAAACTTTCCCTCTCTGAACATCCATTTCCCCACCTGCAAAACAGAGCTCCTTACACCTGTTCCTCCTTGGGAAAGGAAGAAGAGAAGGCAGGGATTGAGATTAAGGTTTCCGGAGCTATTCTGCCTGATCTCAGTTCCCAGCACCATTTATTGGTTCTGGTACTGTGGGCAAGTGTCTTAACTTCTCTGTGCCTCAATGCCTTCATTGGTAAAGTGGGGATAATTTTACTTAACAAAATTATCCCAAATTAAAGAGTTAATACATGTAAAAATGCTTAGAACAACGCCTGGCACATAGTAGTGCTCAGTAAATGTTGGTTATTCATTTTATTTTGTAAATGTTACAAAATGAACTTTTATAAACATGAAACTTCCAGTGCTTGCTATGAGTCAGGTGCTATTTTAAGGACATTACAAATATTAACTCATTAATGCGTATAATAATCCTACGTGATAAGTGCTGTTTTTGCTCCTGTTACAGAGGTGAGGACACTGAGTCCCAGAGAAATTAAGTGACTTGCCCAGGGCCACACAGCCTGTTGTGGCGGGATTTGAACCCACATGGCCTAGCTCAAGAGTCAGTGCTTCTGAGTTCTTGTGATTATTATTACTTGTCCTTTCAGAAAGGTGAAGGTGAAATGAATGGAACTCTTGACTCCCATCCAGGGCACTTTAGACTGGACAGCTTTCAAATCTAAGAAATGGAGGCCCAAATGAACCTAGAGTTACTTATGTAATCCTCTTTTTTGCCATTAAGCAACAAAGGCACTCAGTTTGATATCGGGGAGACACATCTTCCTTTGCCATTAGCACCCGTAATTCTACCATCAAACCCCCATTATAAAATGAAGACCCAACCAGGAAGAAGGGCGCCTAGTGGGCCCCTAATTCCTCAGTGGGAACCATGTGCCAGACTCCTGTTGGCTCTGGGTGAACCTTGTGGTGCAAAAAGTAGGAGGATCCGATTGTGGCCCTGTGAGCCTCTGTCCCCAGGACTTGTCCCAAGTGGCCCAGAAGGCGTTAACACCTGTTTCACTCACTTACTTCAGAGCATCCACAAGGATCTAGAAGCAAAGATAGCCCGCTTCCACCAGCGGGAGGACGCCATCCTCTATCCCAGCTGTTTTGATGCCAACGCCGGCCTCTTTGAGGTGTGTGAGGCCACGGGTGGGAGTTGGTGAGACCTGCGAGGCTGTGGAAGGCTTGGGAGTGTGCAGTCCAGAGAACTTGGCTGGATGCCCGGTACCACGCCGAGAGGCTCCAGTGTCTATTTCTTATGGAGGCCAAGGTTGGGCCAGTAGGTCTCCAGGAGGAATCCTGGGGCTTACAAGGAGGCCAGCTTCCAGGGCATTTGGAGGATAACCTACTTCAGCTGGAAGGCTGAGGGTGTTAGGGGCCACACATTCACCAAACATGTTCTCATCTCCTTTGGCTAGAGCAAAGGCCCTGATTCAGCCCAGTCCTGGCGCTCTGGGGACCAAGATAGAAGCAGAGGGCTCCTGGCCTCCCTGCCCAGGAGAATGCCCTGGTTGGCAGTGAAATATTGATTAAGGGGGAGTCATAAGGGAGGGAGAGACCCAGGGTGGTTGGGTGATGGCTCTACTCCTAACTGCCTTCTGCCAGGCTCTGCTGACCCCGGAGGATGCAGTCCTGTCGGATGAGCTGAACCATGCCTCCATCATCGATGGTATCCGTCTGTGCAAGGCCCACAAGTACCGCTACCGCCACCTGGATATGGCCGATCTGGAGGCCAAGCTGCAGGAGGCCCAGGTGGGGCAAGGCCTAGCGGTTCTAGGGGCCAGGACTGGGCTTCTCCTCAGTCTTACTGCTGCACCCAGCACTACCCCCACCCCCACCCCCACCCCCGCCCCCCCGGTGAAGGAAGCGAGGCTTACAGAGGCCAACCCCTCACTCACAGACAAACAGCCTGAAAGTTCGAAACAACCAAGATTTGAACCCAAATTCTCAGACCCAAAGCTTTATTCCGTTGCACAATACTGCCTTGAGTTTTAGTAAGCACCCTATGCATGGCAGTCCCCTGCTAGGCATAAGGGTGGGATGAGCTTATGGGCAGAACTGGCCACACCCCATCCTGCCCTCTGGGAGAGGAGGCTGCGAACATTCTTCCTGCCCAGTGCTGAGTGTGGCTCCAGACTGCCCTGGAAGAGGTGGGTAAAGCTCAGAGAGGCCCCAGTGAAGCAGAGGATGTACCAGCTTCAACATGGTGGTGCTTACGTGCTCACTCTGTGCTGGGCACTGGGCGAGCTGAGCCTTTAGAGCCCCGAGCAGCACAGAGAGTGAGTGGTTTGGCCCAACTCATGATACCGGCCACCTTCTGTATCTTCCCTGCAGAAGCATCGGCTGCGCCTGGTGGCCACCGATGGGGCCTTTTCCATGGATGGCGACATCGCACCCCTGCAGGAGATCTGTTGCCTTGCCTCTCGATATGGTGCCTTGGTCTTTGTGGACGAATGCCACGCCACTGGCTTCCTGGGGGCCACAGGACGGTGAGAGCACACGGCACCTGAGGCCTTGGGTTGGACTCCAGGGCGGGTGGGAAGCTGGGAGGCCAGCCCCCAAGCCCAGTCCGTGATCCTGGGCACTCAGGTGGCCAGTGGTGGCAGTGGCAGCTTCCCTTGCAGGGGCACAGATGAGCTGCTGGGCGTGATGGACCAGGTCACCATCATCAACTCCACACTGGGGAAGGCGCTGGGCGGAGCATCAGGTACCTGCAGGCTTGTGCCACTGGGCTCCCCTCATCTACATGCAGGGCCCTGGAAGAGGGGAGGTGGGGGGGGAGACCTGGGGCTGCAGGGAAGGAAACAGCGGGGACTGTCCTCTCAGGAGGGGCATGGGGTAAGCTCTGGTTCCTGGCCTCTGACTGCCCCCCTCCATCCCCACCTCTGTCCTTGTTCTCAGGGGGCTACACTACAGGGCCTGGGTCCCTGGTGTCCCTGCTACGGCAGCGTGCCCGGCCCTACCTCTTCTCCAACAGTCTGCCACCTGCTGTCGTCGGCTGTGCCTCCAAGGCCCTGGACCTGCTCATGGAGAGCAACGCTGTCATCCAGTCTATGGCGGCCAAGACCCAGCGGTGCGGTCTCGGGCAGGGTGGGGCCAGCGGGGGCGAGGAAGCTGGTGAGGGCCTGCCCTGCATGCCTGCGCAGGCCCTAGCTCCCTGCCTACGGGTTCTGCCTCTGCCCATCCCACTTCCCCAGCGGGTTGCACTGGGACTCGGCTCTCTAGGCCAAGGGCTGCCTGCTTGCCCACCTCCCTCTTCTCCCTGGCTCTTCCTTCCATTTCCTGGCACATTTCTCTGCAAATGCTCCCCATCTGCCTCTCTGGGTCTGCATCTCTGTCTTTGTTGGTCCCTCCTGCAGACTTGGCCACAAACCTTGGGTCACATGCCCATCAGGAGAGGGTGTGATTGCTCCACAGCCCCCCAGCTCCCTGTGACACCCAATTTGTGCCCACAGATTCCGCAGTAAGATGGAGGCTGCTGGCTTCACCATCTCGGGAGCCAATCACCCCATCTGCCCTGTGATGCTGGGTGATGCTCGGCTGGCCTCTTGCATGGCGGATGACATGCTGAAGAGAGGTAAAGGGGGCCGGGGCATGAGGAGTGGCTGTGGGTCCTAAAAGAAAAGGAGGGAACCCCCTAGACTGTGAATACCCCCCTTCCCCCTGCTCTACTACCCCTCTTAGACCAGCTGTCTGTCCAAGCTTGAAAACCCTAGGCCATGAGGCAGTCCCATGTCTGAGATCTTGGGCAGCTCCCTTCTCCTCTGTGGTCCTCAGAAAAGGAGGAGCTGTATATCATGCCCCAAAAGCCTGTCTGGCTCTGGTGAGCCCCAGGTTGACTCTCTCTACCCTCCCAGGCATCTTTGTCATCGGGTTTAGCTACCCCGTGGTCCCCAAGGGCAAGGCCCGGATCCGGGTCCAGATCTCAGCGGTGCACAGCGAGGAGGACATTGACCGCTGCGTGGAGGCCTTCGTGGAGGTGGGGCGGCTGCACGGGGCACTGCCTTGAGTCCTGGGTAGTGACAAGCAGAGCCAAGGTCCCCCTCCGTCCACAGTGACAGAGAGGGGGGCCTTTGACCAGCCCAGGCCAGAGGCTCTGAACTCTGTCAGTCCTGGGGCCAGGCTGGGGTGAGGCCTGTGCTTGTGGCTGTGAGTGTGAAGTAACAGTGTGGAAATTGGCTGTGACGTGTTGGTCTGCTTTATTCTCTCGGAGCAGCCCCAGTCCTGCGCTGGTCGAAGAATCGGCAGGAGCTGGGGCTCTGAGGGCCAGCTCCTGAGGACTGTAATAGATCTGAGAGCTCACCGCCTCCCCCAGATTAAGATGGGACCCAGGCAGCTCGGGTAATAGAGGCTGGAGCCACTGTTTGGCTCCGTTGGATTCTTTCTCGCTGTAGAGGGCAGCTGAGCCCCAGCCCTGCAGGCCCCTTCCCGCGCCACCCACCCGCCTACTCTGCAGCCTTGGTGGACACCTCGTCCTCTGCTGCACATCCAAAGGATGGCCTACAGCTGCCCAGATAAGAAGGGGCTGGGCACCCAAACCCATGTTTGGGAGAAGCAGAAGATTCAGCCCCAGAGGAAAGATTGTCTGTCACTATTGGTGAGGCCCCCGATGGTCTGGAACTCTGTGTTCTAGCCCACTTTGTTCCTGCCTCTGTGGCCTTAGGCAGGCTCCTCCCCCGTGTGTGCCTCAGTTTCCCCCGCTGTACCAAGAGTGGCTGTTATATTGGTATCGGGGCCTTTCCATTTCCGTATTCCCGAGGCCTGCTGGTCTGAAGATCAGCCGCCAGGGGGCGTAGCGAGCTCAGGCTCTGCTATCGCCCCGCCCCTCCAGACTTCTGGCCTCGGACTCAGCTGTTGCTACAGCCCCGCAGGCAAGGCCCCACCCTGCCTTGCCCCCGACAATGGCTCACTGCTTCCCTGCTGAAGATGACTGTCCCCTTCCCGCAGTCGCAACCCGTGGTGCTTCTCTCTCCATTGCCCTCCCCACCTCAGCCTTACGGGCACCTGGTGGGGGTAAAGGATGGGTTCTGAGTCACCGCGCCTCCAGCCTCAGCATGTTGTGGGCTTGGGAAGCTCGTAGTTTGCTGGCGATAGGGCAGGGAGGATGAAAAGGCCCTTCTTCATTAACGATGGGACCATGTTTCTGGCGCCCCGCATCCCCAGCCCCCCCTTCAGCCTGGGTGTCTAGGGATGGACAGTCTGGGTGAGCTCTGGCCCAATCCATTAGGATCTTAATGCTGGGATTCTGAGAATCCTAACCTGTGATCCCGAGGAGCTTGAGGCTGGGGTCCAGGAGTTCGGGGTGCTAGGGGCTGCAGCCCCAGGGGAGGGGGCTGCTGTGGCCACATCAGGGGCACAGACACGGGTAGGGCATCTGGCACTAGGTGCACTCCTACAGCAGCAAGTACACACAGCCTGGTGCCAGCCCCTGGCCAAGCCAGCAGCTTGACGTGCATGGTCTGCTCAAGGTGGCAGGTCATAGTGGGTGGCCATGAGCAGCCACGGGGTGACAAATCGCAGTAGGTGAGGCTGAGATAAGGTGGACCTAGGTGAGGTCCATCAGCCAGTGGCGCACAGCGAGCACCGTTGCGGCCTGTAGTTCCCAGGCGCCGCCGCTGACATTGTGGGGCGGTGGCAGTGCCTCGACACCGTGGGCCAGCTGGTCGCGGTAGAGCACCGCGTCATCAGACAGCTTTCGGCGCAGCGTGTGGAGCTGTGCGGGCCCAGGTCCACCGCGGCACAGCTCCTCCGCCACCATCCAGAGGGCTCATAGGAGGTGCCAGCAGGTGCAGTGGCAGCTCTGGGCACACATGCTTGGGCTTGGGCACGTACTGGTCATCGCCAGAGGCCAAGACAGGCTATAGGGCCGAGGACCAGTCGCGGACAAGCTGCACTTACACACCCTGCAGAGCCTGGGTCTCTGGGGACCACTCCCAAGGCCCATCACCTGTCCTCTACGTTGGGTGCGGGGTTCAAGGCCACAGTCACCAGGAGCAGCGGTTGGAGCAAGGGAAGACGGGTGCCTGGGGCCCGCTGGGACTCGGGCCACAGCGAGGCGCCCTTCCTGCCTTCCCCACAGGTGGTCTCTCTGGTTGCCACCATCCTCCCTCCTCCTCTGCTATCATATCAGCAGCTCAGCCTTGCTGCTGCTGGGAGCTCTGCCCTAGTACCGCCCCTGCCCATCCAGAGCTTAGCCTCCAACAAGGAGGGACATGGTGGGCTGGGGGCTCCCAAGCGGAGGGAGGACGGTGTGTCAGGGACCTCGGGGCTTTCAGGGTCCAGGCCTGCCACATTCGTGAGTCCAGGCTTCTGGGAATCTAACAGTGCATTACTTTCATACAGGGTGGTTGTGGACCCCTAAATTCTTAAATCCCACCACACCAAGTCTGGATCCTACAATTCTGCTCTTCAGAGATCACACGATTCTACGATTCTAATTCCTTAATTCAATTTTGATAGCTCTGAATTCAGGTTTGGAGAATCTAGGTATGATCCCTAATATCTTCAATTCAGTGAGTCTCTGCTTCCAGAAACTGGGGGATGCGCTGCATCTGGGATGGGTGACATGAGGCTTTAGAGGTGCCTGAGCACTGGTGAAAATCCCAGGGCCCGTGGGAAGCCAGCTCTGAAGAGTCTCTTCCCGGCTCCTCAGGCCTTGGTTACAAGTCCTGCCTTCATCAGCGTCCCCTCAGACTGTTTTCTCTCCCCTTTCACAGACTTCTTGACATTCGCCCCACCCTCCCAGCTTCTAGAAAGACACCACACAGTGCCTACCAGCTCTCCTCTCCCTTAATTCATTACAGACAGCATCCTGGCCCCACTACACTTGTCTAGTTTTCAACAACCACCTTGTTGCTGAATCTAATGCACCTCACACCCCGGGTGCTGGCCTCCTACCCTCTGGAAGCATGTGGCCATGTGGCCCACTCCTCCAAGAGGTCCAGACCAGAACCCCATGACTGAATGATACAGCCATTCACCGAGACCTAGTAACCTCTTCGGCTGTTGCCTGGACAAGAGGCTCCTAATGGCTCACTCATTAAATCGCTCCCCTTCTATTCATCCTTTTAACCCCAGGCCGTAATAAACTAATTACACAATAAATGCGCAGGTCCTGTCCCTGCTCTAGAACCTCCTCTAGTTCCCCATTCCCCTCAGGCTAAAGCCAGACTCTTTGGACAGACACATAAACCCTGCAGGCTTCGGGCAGACTGAACCCCTAGAACAATCTTAGGGAAACTGGTGGGTCTCAGGATTCTCAGGCGCCAGGAAGAGTAGTTCTATCTGAAGTCTGCAGCAAAGGGGCTCCTGGATTCCTAGCATAGGACACGCCACTCAAGACTAGGAGTCCCGGGACTTCCCTGATTGTCCAGTGATTAAGACCCCGCGCTTCCAGTGCAGGGGGTGGTCGGGGAACTAAGATCCCACATGCCACACAGCGCGGCCAAAAAAAAAAAAGACTAGGGGTCCTTTCTGAGCTTCGGTTGGAGCCCTTCTTGGAGCAGGGAGCAGAGACGATGGGGAAGCAGGACCACAGGAGGTGAGAGGGCCAGGAATGGACTGGGCCCTGGGCACAGAGGGGTTAACTACAAAGCGAGAATCTCAGAGAGCGAGATCAATGGGTTACTCGCTGCAGAAAGAGGCAGAAGCAACGCAGAGAGGCAGAGGAGAGCCGGACAGAAGAGCATGCCATCCGGGGGAAATCAGGGAATGAGGAGGAAGTGCCCAAGTCCAGCTCAGCAGAGGAAGGCCAAGGAGAGGAGGGAGCCTTGGGAGGCAGACCTGTACCTGCAGGTAGGCACCAAGGGGTGGCCACTGAGCCAGGAGGCAGCTTCAGCCTGGCCGGTTCGCCCAGGATCAAGCAGGAGCCCAGTGCCCAGGGTTGAGGTAGGTGTCGCCCATCCTGGGCTTTGCGGGGACCTGCTGCATGCTGGGGTGGGAGACACAGATATCACCTTTCCTTCCTCCTCCCTGCCTGGCTCCCTTGCCCTTAATACGTCCAGCCACCCCAGAGGTCCAAGCATGCAGGGAGCCCCCAGGTAGCAGTCGATATGGGCCATGGGTGGGGCAGGGGTAAGAGTGAGCGCAGCTTGCATAGATGCTCGTGTGCGCACACACACGCGCGTGCACAGATTGTCAGAAGCGCTACCTGTTACAGGCTCTCAGATGAGTGCTCCAGCCTTGGAGTCAGGGTACCAGGGTGGCAACAGCCTCAGATCTGCCACTCAAAGTGTGGTATTAGCCTCCCGTGTCCCCTCTCTGAGCCTCAATTTCCTCATGTGTAAAAAGGGGGCAGTGACTTATATGGTTCTCCCAGCTGTGCCACTGTCATGCTCTCACTAAACTGGACTATCAAATGGACGTCACCCATGTTTGGCTGAATTTGATCTATGTCCCAAAGTCTTCCTTAGGACTTCCCTGGTGGTCCAGTGGTTAAGACTCCACCCTTCCAGTGCAGGGGGGCGTGGGTTCGATCCCTAGTCGGGGAACTAAAATCCCACATACCGCCCCCACATACCGCGTTGTGTGGCAAAAAAAAAAAAAAAAGCCTTCCCTGTATTTCAGATCCCCATTGAAAAATCAGCTCCTGGGGTTGGAGCTGCCCCTGCCCCCACCCCACTTTGCCTGTGTCTTTCCCTGTATCATCGGCTGAAGGTGTCTATCAACTACCTAGTCAGCCCTTCGTGCCCTGGGCTATGGCGGTGTTCCCCAGGAAACTGAGAAACCCACCTTAGACACCAATGAGACTCTGTCAGGAGCTTGCACAGTGGGTCCCAGTGGTAACTTTTGTCTCTGTCCCCACCCCCACCCCCATCCCCCACCAGCTTCCAGCCCATGGGACGTGGCCAGGCCCAGGGTGGGGGACTAGACCCCTGAGTTGAGTAACCAGAGTTGGGGGCTCCTGCCTGAGGACTCCAGCTTCTCTTCCTCAGGTGCCTGTTTGATGAGGAGATGACTGATGCCCAGAACGTTTCGCTGGACAGCCCAGGGAGTATGGGGGCTGTGGCAGTGCCCGTGGTCTTTGCCCTCATCTTCCTGCTGGGCACAGTGGGCAATGGGCTGGTGCTGGCAGTGCTGCTGCAGCCCGGCCTGGGCGCCTGGCGGGAGCCGGGCAGCACTACGGATCTGTTCATCCTCAACCTGGCAGTGGCCGATCTCTGCTTCATCCTGTGCTGTGTGCCTTTCCAGGCCGCCATCTACACGCTCGATGCCTGGCTTTTCGGGGCCCTCGTTTGTAAGGCTGTGCACCTGCTCATCTACCTCACCATGTACGCCAGCAGCTTCACGCTGGCGGCTGTCTCGGTGGACAGGTGAGCTGTGTCAGGGACCTGGCCGGGTCTGGGCTGGGGAGGGAAGACCTGAACAGATTCTCATTGGCCTTAGAAAGGAGAGAATGGGGGACCAAAAAGGGACATAGGAGGGGGGAAAAGGAACAGCTCCCTGGCCCCCGCCAACCACTCCCTGGGCACCTGCAGGGCATGCTTGAGGGGATCATCCTGCCCTCCCCCCAACTCCATTGGGAGCTTCCGGAGAACATCTCTGTGTCCCAAGTGTTAGCTCAGGGCCTGGCACATGATGTTCTGTAAGAGCGAAATGAATGGCAAAAGGAACACACCAATGAATTCATCAGATATTTTATTACCGCCCACACCTGGCTCAGGTTGTGGTCAGACTGGCTTTCATGGCCTGAAACTTGGGGTCAAACCCAGGCTCACTCTCTAGCTGACAATCTCGGGCCGGTCACTTCTCTCTGAGCCTCTGACCCAGCCCCGCTAGGTGCCAGGCGCTGCTCTAAGCGCTTTGCGCGCTGACTCCGTTCATCCCCACAACCTCCATGCGAGGCCGGGCGCGCGATGCCCGCCCATCCCCGAGGTTCAGACACGGTCGTCTAGGCGGCCGCCCGCCCGCCTCGCTGACACCGCGCCCGCCCGCAGGTACCTGGCCGTACGGCACCCGCTGCGCTCCCGGGCGCTGCGCACGCCGCGCAACGCCCGCGCCGCCGTGGGTCTGGTCTGGCTGCTGGCGGCGCTCTTCTCGGCGCCCTACCTCAGCTACTACGGCATCGTGCGCTACGGCGCGCTCGAGCTCTGCGTGCCCACCTGGGAGGACGCGCGCCGCCGCGCCCTCGACGTGGCCACCTTCGCCGCCGGCTACCTGCTGCCCGTGGCCGTGGTGAGCCTGGCCTACGGACGCACGCTGCGCTTCCTGTGGGCGGCCGTGGGTCCCGCGAGCGCGGCGGCGGCCGAGGCCCGGCGCAGAGCCGCGGGACGCGCCATGCTGGCGGTGGCCGCGCTCTACGCCCTCTGCTGGGGCCCGCACCACGCGCTCATCCTCTGCTTCTGGTACGGCCGCTTCGCCTTCAGCCCGGCCACCTACGCCTGTCGCCTGGCTTCGCACTGCCTCGCCTACGCCAACTCCTGCCTCAACCCACTGGTCTACGCGCTCGCCTCGCGCCACTTCCGCGCGCGCCTCCGCCGCCTGTGGCCCTGCGGCCGCCGCCGCCCCCGCTGCCCCCCGGGCGCCCGCCGCGCCCTCCGTCGCGTCCGCCCGGCGTCCGCAGGCCCTGCCGGCTGCCTCGGGGACGCTAGGCCTCGCGGGCAGCTGCCGACTGGCGGGGAGCCGGGTCGGGAACCGGCCCGCGGCACAGAGGCTGGCCGGGCCCTTCCTGCCCGAGGACCGGAATAAACCTTGTCTGCCTCCACTCTGCCGGGTGTACGTCTGTCTGTCATTCCCCTTCCCCCTGGACAGGACGCCCCTAGGGGATGGGGCCAAAGCCAGGAGCCCTCTGAGGAGGAGTGGCTGAGCTGGGGACAGACACTCAGTCCACTGAGTGGACACCCCTGGGCGATGAAAATGGTTCAACGCAGCCAAGTGCAGGCCCTTAGCTAGGCAGCCCCAAGACGCTGTCCATGACCAGTCTGACAGGAAGGAGGGCAATCCGCCCGCCCATCTGTATGGGGTGCTACATTTCTCAATCTAATTATCAAAACAGCTTTGCAAGGCAGATACAATCAATTCCACTTTATAGATGTAGACAGCAAGGATCAGAGAGGTTGAGTGGTTTGTCACATAGCCAGTGTTTGGCAGAGGTTGGGTTCAAACCCACTGCTGTTTAACTTTTTCTACTCAGTAGAACCGAATACAGTTTTTCCCTTTTTTTTTTTCTCCTCAGATCCCATGGTTTCCAAGGTTTTTCTTGGTTTTTCCTGATCCTCCATCAGCCCTCCTCCCCAAACCTGCAGCTCCCCACGCTCAACTGGAAGCCCTAGAAACCTCAGGGGGCTCCCAGCCCCCTTCCTTAGGAGAGTTCTGTTCAGGTACAGCGAGTGCTGAGGGCTTCCCCCCGGCCGTCAAGTCCTAGGTCCACTGCCTGACCCAAACCCCTCGCATTATTCTTTCAGCCATTTGGTGCTCCTGGCTACGGGGAGGCGCTGAGCCACACTCGGGCCCCAGCTGGCCTTCCAGCAGCCCTGATTACCCTGTGGCCCCCTCCCTACCTGTCCCTGCACACAGCTGGGGTAGTCTGTGGTGTGGAAACCTCCTAATTAACCAATAGATCAGTCTCGATGGTTGCGGAGCCACTCACTTCCTCCCTCACCGTAAGCCAATAACGTTTATTAGCTTCTGGCTGAGTCCTGAGACCTTCGGCTTCCGTGTCTCTCCAGCACACCTCCCGGCTGCTGGGCACCCTGGGAAGGCCCTCCCTGACAGTGGGTAGCTGCTGAGACCTCATCACAGCCTGCCACCTGCCACAGACCCAGGGGTCAGGACGGCAGTCAGCCTTCTCAGGGGGAGGTTGAGACGCAGCTGGGGAGCGACTGCTGCAAGGGCGCAGCACAGGGGCTGACACCTGGTCCTGTGCTCTTTCTCCCATGTCTCTGCCAAGATGTCCCCGGCTGACTCAGGCTGCAGCAGTGGGAGTGTTTCCTGGAGGGCAGGGGGTGTGATGCTGCCGCTTCTGCAGCCCCCATTGTGGCCTCTGTCTCCCTGAGGCCATCACTCACACCTCGCCTGGCTCATCAGTGCCTCGTACCAGTACCAACCCCGGCAGGCAAGGGATATTACCTCTATTTTCAGAAGTGAAAACCGAGGCTCAAGGAGATGAGGTACTTGACCAAAGCCAAGTGGCAAATTCGAGACAGAGCCAGGATTCTAACTGGGCGAGAGGGATGGCTCTCAGGGCAGCCCAGGCAGCATCGGAAGAACATCTAAGAGCGTCTGACAAGGTTTGCTACACAACAGTGGTGAGTGCCTGCAAAATACAAGTGGGGAACAAAATCTCCTGGGGTTGGCTTATGCTGTGGTTGGTCCAGTCACCCAGCTGGGGTCACCTCTGTGCGCATGGACAGGTGACCGACTGGGAACAGCCTACCTCTAGGATGGGCAGGAGACAATCGCCCAGCCAGGGAGTGGCAGATCCAGCGCCTGAACCTGCGTGAAACCCCAGGCCCAGGGGAGGGGTCGGTCAGTGGAAGCCCTCCACACACAGTGGCCTGGCAGAGGGACACTCATACAGCCCAGGCCCTTGGCTGGACCCCAAGGCCTCCTGCTTCTGAAGGGGTCTCTCTGGCCCATTGGAACCAGATAAAGAAGCCCAGACACCCCGACTAATGGAGGGCAGTATAGCCTGCCCAGGGTAGACACACGGCCAGTATTTGATACATGAGGACAGAGGTGCCAGGGAAGGAAAGACGTGACCCTCTCCTTTCTTCTTTCCTTTATCCCTCAAACGTTTGAGTGCCTGCCCTAAGCTAGCCCCTGAGAGGAAGCCAGAGACAGCGTAATTTGGCCTGGTCTCTGCCTTCTGGGAGCTCTCAGTCTAGCAGGAGAGCCAAATACCAAAAGAAGAAAGGATAGCACTGTGTTACGGGGCCATAAGGGAAAAGTACACAGAGTTTGAAAGGGCCCAGAGGAGGAAACTCCTGCCTTCCTGGGCAATCGAAGCAGGAGTCCCAGAGGAGATGGCATTTAATGTGCATTTTCCTGGGAAGAGGTGGGAAGGGCCTGCCAGGTGGAGCAACAGCTTGTGCCAAGGCAGGTACAGGTGGGAGCAGTAAGCGGGCTTGTGTAGCTGAAGCAGGGCGGGGTGGGGCCTGGGGAGCCCGGGAGGGTGGGTGCAGTGAGATCACGTGTGTCTCCTAGGCTAGCTGGGGGGCAGGAACTTCATCCTTCAGGCAGGCAGTGATGCCATTGAGGGTTTTCAGGAGGGTAGGTGCCCTAGGGTTGCTGTGTACAGGCTGGGTTGGAGGTGCCAGGTTGGCAGCAAGGAGCCCAATCCAGAGGCTGCTCTGTGAACCCTGGGCCAGGAAAGCTTCCACCAAGGGCCGGGCCTAGGACTAGGAGATTATTTTTGCCATGGCTTTGGCAGGAAGATTGATGGCCTGCTGCTGGGCTTTGGCTCAGCCCCTGAGGTTCCTGGGTCTGCTTCAGGGGGCTCATGAAATGCTTGGAAGAGCAGATGGCTGTAATCCTTTGGTGGAGAGAGCCAAGTCCTGCAGGGCTGGAGGCAGGCAATGGGGGCTGGGGTAGAGGCTGAGCGAGCCCTGGCTGCTGCCTCATGGAGAATCCACCTGACCTGAGCCTCCTGCAGGGTCTCAGGCCAGGCTCAGGGCAGCCTGGAGGTCCCAGGGAGGAGCTCCTCTTAGTTGGGGGAGATTTGAATTCTGCAGCCCTCTCACCCTCCTGTTTGTGCAGACCTCTTAGGGATGGGCCTGCAACATTTATGTCTGAACACCTGCTGAGTACAGAGTTCTCCTGCAGGAAAGAAAGACAGAAGCACAGGGGATTGTGGGAGCCCAGAGGAGGGCCCTAACGAGCTTGGGGAGGCAGAGAAGACTTCCTGGAGGAGCTGATGCCCAAGCCAAGTCCTGAAGTGGGAGTTAGGACAGATGGGGAAAGGAGAGATGGGAGAATACACACACAGGCCACCTGGGGTCCTCTACCTGCAGTCTGGCACAGCACGAGGAGCCGAGGGCCTGGGACAGGGTACGCGGGAGCCCCAGCAGGAAGTGAGGTGGGAGAGGTGGGCGGGAGGGGCAGCCGCAAAGGATTCTGTAAATCCTGTCTGAAACCGAGACTGTACCTTGTCCTGAGGGCAATGGGGAGCCACGAAAAGGTTTTAAGCAAAAGAGTGACCTGATCAGATGTACTCTTTAGGGAACTCTTTCTGGCTGCAAGGCAGGCTTTTCCCGGGGAGGGAAAGCAGAATGAGACTGGGGGCAGGGAGACCAGTTAGGAGGCTGGTGTGAGAATCCAGAGAGATGAAGACATCCAAGGCTCCGGCAGCGGGTGGGGAGACGTGGACAGACGGGACAAACCCATACGAGGTGCAGCTGTCGGGACTAAGTGGTGATTAACTGTCGTGGGCTAAGCGGTGTCCCAGATGACACCCAGCCTCTGGCTTGGGCTCCTGGGGGTGGCAGTGGGGGTGATGCGGGCAGAGGTCTGGGACAGGAGATGGTGAGCTCAGTTGGAACGCGTTGCGACCAGGGGCCTGGGGGGCACGGCGGGGGTGTCCAGGGGGCGACGGTGCACTGGGCACCTGCTGTATCTCAGGCCTTGCACTTGCCTCTGGAAGTTGTGTCTCATCTGCCTTAGAGTTTTGAAGATGGAGAAGCTGAGGCTCAGAGAGATTAAGTAACCTGCCCAAGATCACACAGCTAGCCCCAAACAGCTGGGGTCTAAATCAGGTTGGTCTGATTTCAGTTCCACGGTCTTTAGGGAGGAGAAGGGGCAGGTAGGAGTCTTTTGAAGGGGAGGGAGGAAACTGAACATGCAAAGGTGACCTCCACCCACAGCCATCCGCCCTGTGTAGCAAGCGTGGCCAAGGGTGAAACTCAGCCCCGGGGAGGGTGGGCGAGCTGCGGCCCCCGGTACAGCCACGTTATCCAGCACCTCTCCCTGCCTCGGGCCGACGGGAACAGCACCAGCTATCAACTTCGAGCTGTGAACCTGGGGACATAAATACCAATTAACCACCCCGAGGTTTCCTATTAATGAACATCAGTCCTCAGCGCTGATGCAGGGCTCATTTGCGAGTCGCCAGCTGGATCCAAGACGGCATGAGGCCAGAGGGACACGCTGTGCAGGGGTGGAGTTGGCTTAAGAGGACAAGATTGATTTATTGAGGCGTCTGCTTGGTGCCGCCTTGCTTTAGAGGCCTGGGCTCTGTGTAGGGGTGAGACTGAAGGAGGAAGGGGGGTGAGGAGGGGTTGGGGGCAAGGGGTGCCAGCCTGGAGTTCCTGGGGGTGCTTCGGACGGCTGTGGTGCTGGGGGAGGGTGCTGGACTGGGCATCTGGTGGACCTGCCAGGTCAACTCAGAGAGGTGACATGGTGCAGCGGTCAAGGCACGGGCTGTGAGCCACATCGTTGGGTTTGAATCCTGGCTCCTGCACTTCGTAGCTGACCTCTCTGTTCCTCAGGACCCGTAGAACTGAGCCATCTGAGCCAGGCTGCGTTCTAGGCACACTGCCTCGGGCTGCTCCCTGGTGCTGCCAGCTATATGCGAGGTTTCAAGGGCTCTCCCGGGCGGACCCTTGCCTCCATCAAAAACCCTCACAATCTGGGAATTCCCTGGCCGCCCAGTGGTTAGGACTCCAAGTATCCACTGCCAGGGGCCCGGGTTCGATCCCTGGTCGGGGAACTAAGATCCTGCAAGCCACGTGGTGTGGCCAAAAAAAAAAAAAAAACCAAACCCTTGCAATCCAACTGGGGAGGCGTGACTCACCTGTCTCCGCCCCACTGGGCATGCTGACGGCCAAGTGCTTCTATAACACGTGCCATCCTCCCCAACCTTCAAAGCGAGAGAGTCACCAGGCTGGCGTGGACCAGTCACAGAGACAAGGGACCACTCTGGCCCCTGGTCTGGGGCTTCAGGTAAGACTCCTTTGCTTCCCTGAGCCTGTTTCCTCAACTGTAAAGTGAACTGATCATATCTCCTTGCAGGCACCAAGGTCTCGGAGTTAGCTTGAGAGCCAGCATCAGGGGGTTTGGGCTAATTCACTTTGGGCCCTATTGCTGGGGGGAGCCAGGGACTTCGTTGGGATTATCCAGGCATCAATCAGTCCAACTTCCTGACCTCCTAACCCTGCCCTGGGCTCAGCATCTGAAGCGATCTGGGGAGCTGGTGGGGCTTTTACCCGGAGCCCATGGTGCCTGCTCTGGGTAAGGATGCATCTGATCTCCAGGGTGGAGGTGACAGCTTGCCTCACCTGCTTTCTGTCGCCAGGGCAAATCTTCAGACCTCAGGATCTCCACAGCCTGGTCTCACCCCTCTCTCTGGCCAGCCCCTCACGCTCCCGGGCCCTGCATTTTTCCAGGCCATCTCCCGGCCCCAAAGCCAGCTTGTGCCTGTCCATCCGCCAGGCCTGGCTCATGCCGCTCCCAGCTCTCCCACCACCTCGGAAGGCCTGCAATAGTTTGGGCAGCCACCAAAGATCAGCAAAGACCATTCCAGACCCAGCTCAGTCCCATCACCTCATACTGTCCTCTCTCTCCTCCAGGTGACCAGGTGCAGGCCTTGTCCACTGAGCACACTGTACAATGTGCTCAGCGAGGAAAGGACCCACCCCTCCCTGCACGGGGACAGAGACATTCACTCAGTAAGGTCCATCGGTTTCTACTGTGTCTCAGGAGCACTGGGGACATTGGCACTTTGGGAACCTGGGCAGAGATTCCTGGGCTGGGCTGGGTCCTGCGCTGCTGTCTGACCTCAAGCGAGTTGCTCTCCGCCTGAGCCTCGATCTTCTGCATCTATAAAATAGTGGAGGCAAGGGCACTGGCTACCCTTTTGGCTGCAAACACTAAATCAAAAGGGCTTGTGTAAAGGGCCTGCTGGCACACAGTAGGAGCTCAACAAACGTTGTCGCCCTCAGTTTTAGGAAACTCTGCTTCTGAGAAAGCTCTAATTTCAGGTGTGGTGGAAACAGCACGAGCTTTGGGGGTGGGTCCAGGGTCCAGCCCAGCTGCCTGGTTGGGTCACCCTGGCAAACCTGCATTTTCTCACCCGTCCAAAGCACCAGCAAGGCCAGTTATCTCACAGCATGGTTGGGAGAAGTTGTGAACATCCCCCAGGCATTACCGCCGTCTGCCATGGGCAAAGGCAGGGATTTTAGTTTGCTTTTCTTGTTCCCTGTTGTATTCCTACCTGGAACATTGCCCAGCACATGGCAAGTGCTTGATAGGTATTTCCAACGTGAATGAAATGGGAGGTATAAAGCAAAGGACCCTACCCAGCCGGGGAAATCAGCGAACAGGACTTCTTCTTACTGCCCCCCCAACCCCCCCGGCCCCCTCCCTGCTCCCCCCACCAACTCGGTAGCTCCCAGAGCAGCTAGTAACAGAGCTAACTCCCGTGTGGGCAGCTCTCCATCCTGCTGTGTCCAGTTCTCCATCCTGCCCTGCTCAGCCCAGTCTGCTCAGGGCCAACTTGTGTGTTTTCTGACTCACCCTAATGTCAGGCTGACTTTAACTGGCTGGATCTTCAGAGAGGTTTGGGATTGCAGGAAAAATCTTGGCCGCAAAAGGATCGAGGCAGATTGGCTAGCTGCCTGGCCGTCTGGCAAGTGTCTGATGGCTGGCCCCAAAGCCACCTTCATCTGTCAAGCCTTTTGTTCACTGTCTGTACGGCCAGGGTGGGGCTCATAATGGCCCCCTCGCTTGCCCCAGTGGTCATTCTCCTAGTTACATGGCTACAGGGCCAGGGATGGGTGGGCGGGGCACCACAGGGATGGAGGATGCTGCAGGGAGGCGCCCCACTTGCCAGGTGGGGATGGCTTGGTCCAGGCCAAGGACTTGTTAGGGGTTAGCCCGTGAGTCTCCGAGGCAGGTTAGTTATCTTAGAAATGCGCAGTCATCTCAGGGCAATTTCACAAAGTCTCAGCACGCCCCACCTCCTCAGCTCTGCCAATAGAAAGCAGGCTGCCCTAGGGGATAACGGGTCCCAGAAGTGCCCAGGCAGTCCCCAGGATGCCCTGGGCAGGCCTCTCACCTATCTGCTCCCAAAGTTCTGCAGCAAGAGATCCTAACCTCTTCTGAATGTGGACCCTGCTCAGAATAAAAGCTATAGACCCTTTTATCAGTACATGCATACTCTTCACACAAAATCTTGCATTGTTTCAGGGGGTTCATACCTCTCTAATGGCCCACTAATTGAACCCCTTAGACCTGAGGTTGAGAAACCTTGCCTCAAGGCTCTCTAGGGTGATCAGCCCCGGAGGTGTGCTGGAGGGAGGCCCAGAGAAGCAAGCTCACGGAGTTTGAGGTCCCTTCCCTCCCATCCTGCTTCTCCTCTGCCCCGGGCTCTTCCCTGCTCAGCCCCACCCCTGGGGCCAGGGGCAAAGCGGGGCTGTGTCCAGGCACAGGCCCCAGCAGAGCCCCCAGAGGAGGGCAAGCTCTAATGTGCCCCCTGGGCCTGAGTGGGCAGGCTCACCTGCGGGGGTTAATCGCGTGGGCAGGAAGGAAGGGAGAAAGGCCGCCCCGCACACCCGCCTGTCCCACTCACAGGTGGCTCCTCACCTTCCTCTGGCACACGGCCGGCCCGCAGCCACCTTGCTCACAGCAGCGGCTTGTGTTGCATGGACACACTTTACTGCTTCCTCTGCCCTCCTCTCTCCCCAGTCTTGGGGAGGGTACCTTCCCCAACCCTGGCGACCTGGTGGGGCTTGCAGCCTCCCCTCTCCCAGGGTCCTGGAGGCAGCCCCGGGCCTGTACCTCAGCCCCACAGAGAGACCCTTTTTATCCTTAGGGTCTGGGGAACAGCTGGGTCCCATGAGTTCAGTTCGGGTCTGATCGAGCTGGGATTTGGGAGACAAGCTCCCCTCCTCTGAAAAGCAGCCAGGATGCCAACTGGGTGAGAGGGAAGGTGGGGCAGAGCCAGAGCAGACAGGGACTGCCGATCTGGAAAAAGTCTGTCTTTACTCTGCAGTCGAATGGTTCCTGGGAGAGGGCTGGGCACAGCAGGCCCTCCCTTCAGGCTTCCTACTGTGGCAGATCCCTTCCAGGAGGGGGCGCCGCCTTCGGCGTGTTCGAGCCCCAGAGGCAATAATGTCTGCTCCTGTCGGGGCAGAAGTGGCAGGGGGTGGCGGGGTGGGGCTTCTTTGCAATGAGTTTTTGGGCCTTCAAACAACACAAATTTATTCTCTTATGGTTCTGGCGGTCAGAATCTGAGATCTCTCTGGGCTAAAGTCAAGGTGTCGGCAGGCCGGTCCCTTCTGGAAGCTCTGAAGGGAGAATCCATTTCCTCACCTTTTCCAGCTTCTGGAGGCCGCCTGCATTCCTTGGCTTGTGACCCCTTCCTCGAGTTACTCTGATTTCTTGCTTCCGTCACCACATCTCCTGCTTCCTCTCTGAGCTCCTGCTTCCCTCTAATAAGGATCCGTGTGATTATATCAGGCCCGCCTGGATAATCCAGGACAGTCGCCTTGTCTAAAGACCCTTAACTTAATAACATCTGCAAAGTCCCTTTTGTCATATAAGGTAATGTTCACAGGTTCCTGGGATTAGTACATGGCCATCCTAGGGGCCGCTCCTCCACCTACTACAACTAGGCTGCAGAATGGCGACCCCCTGCTGGTGTTTCAATGATTTGGAGAAAAAGGGCTGGGGATTACCTGCTTTGGGTTCAGCCGGGCCCTTCCTAACCTTGTATTTCTAAGGTCTAGGCTTCACCAACCCCCTCCTTCCAACCAGAGAAACTCACTGCCATGTCTCCTTGAAAGTCCGGTGACAAGCCTAAATCTAAGTGCTGGTGAGAGGTGCGGGGCCAGCCCAGAAGCCCCCTAGGCCAGAGGGTGCCTGCCCTAAGCCAAATCCTGCTGGCCACAACGAGCCCACGGTTGGAGACACAGAGAAGGGTCTGGGGCCTGCCGAGGATGCCAGGGAGGCCATGGGACGAGTGAGGCCTGCTAGGATAGCGCGTCGGCCAGAGCTGAGTGAGGCGTGGCTGCGGCGCCGTGGGAGCCAAAGGAAGACGCTGTGGGCTGTTGTCCCGGCCTCCAGGGAAGATGGAGACCGCAGCTGGGAGTGGCGCTGAGGTCAGTGAGAGAGCATCTCTGCCTCGCAGCAGCTGGGGGCGAGGGCCTCGGCAGACAAAGTCCCAGGCACCGGGCTTTTCCTTTGTAATGAGAGAGCAGTGGGGCGGGGGAGAGTGGCGGAGCGGCAGGGCAGGGAGCCTCTCTTGCTACCTCTTCTCCATGTTCTGCATCTGCAAACTGAGGGAGGTGAAGCTGGCCAGCAGGTCGGTCACTTCATCCACCTGCGGGATGAAACCGAGGCTCTGTTATGGGGTGCCCCCGGGTCCCCCCAGCAGCACCACAGGCATGGAGGGCAGACACTGTCTCTCCCCGCAGGGCATGTGGTGGCTTCACCATGACTAGGGAGCTGCTGTCTGAGGCTGAATCCTTGCTGCCAGGTGGTCTCAGACCGCCCCAGAGAGAAGGGCCAGGGCAGCTTCAAAGGAAGTGGACAGAGGCTCTGAGGTCCACAGTGGGCGACAGGCCTGCCTGCAGCCACGCCTTTCTCCTGCGTCAGAGCAGGGGTGGGCTGGCCCTGAGGCTCCGGCCAGGGCCTGGGTCTGGACCTGCAGCTGCGGCTCACCTGCTCTTTGGTGCTTGTCATCTGGAGGCGGGTGCAGAGGTCATCCAGCCGCTCCCGCTGCTCGTGCCGCCCCAGGCGCTCCAGGTACTCCCTCAGCATCTGGATGATCTGAAACCAGAGGGTGGGCTGAGGGTGTGCTGGGAGGCACAGAGCGGCCTGATGCTGCTGCCGAGGGGCACAGTGGAACAGGTGCCAGCTGGGGTCCGCGTGAAGCCACCCAGGAGCCCTGGTGCCGAAGGCGGGCATGTCTGTGGTTCGGGCAGCACCTGCCCAGGGTTTGCTTGGGGCCACAGCTCAGCTGAGGGGGGCGCTCACCTGCTTCACCTCCAGCCGCACGGCCTCCAGGCACTGGGAGTGGCCTTCCTGCAGGATGTTGAGCTTCGACTTGGCCAGGTGCAGGGGCGTGCGGCCCGCTCGGTCCAGGGCATCTACCCGGGCCCCTGTGGGAGCAGGCAGAGGTGAGCATGCTGGGGGTGAGGGGGAGAGAGGAGGGAGAAGGGGAGGAGACCACTCACCTCCTCGCAGCAGTGTGGTGATGACAGGGACGTGGTTGGTGCAGGCCGCTGAGGGAGAAAAACAGGGACTGAGAGTCTAGGACCACTGGGGCTTGGCCTGGGTGCCCACCAGAGGAGCAGGACTGTCTCTGAGGGTCCCGATGCCAGATCACGCCCCCTGAGAAGGCATCACCAAGGCAGCAACTGGGAGGGACTCGGTGATCAAATCCGACTCCCTCCCTGTACACCTGGGGAAACTGAGGCTTGGAGACGGGACCTGCCTCACCGTGAGCCACAGTGTGAGTGAGCCGCAAGGCGGGAACCTCCCCTAACAGAGCTGCTGCTGCGTCAGCTCTGCTCAGGGCACAGCCAACTAGTGATGGATGGGGACAGCCATGGGACACAGCCCAAGGGGAGCGTGGCCCTGGGGGCTCAGGCTCCTCCCAGATGATAGCAGAGCCTGCTGGGAGCCTGCAGGACCCCACGCTCTCCATCAGAGGAGCCTGTCTGTGCTGCAGAGAAGGGTGTCTTGGCAGCTTGCCAGGCACTTACCCAGGTGCAGTGGTGTGTTCCCCAGCCCATCTCGCTGATTGGGGTCGGCTCCATGGTCCAGAAGCAGCTGCACTGGAAACAGGAAAACCCAAGAGGAGCTGTTGGGGGCTTCTATGAGCAGCACCCTAACCCCACCTGTAACCTAGCTAAAGAGGCTCGCTCAAAGTGGGGGACACTGAAAGCTCACACAGTCCCCCACGCTGTTTCATTCACTCACTCACTGGCTCATTCGCCCCTAAGGCTCATGTGCAGGACTCTAGGGCCAGGAACTGAGGATTGTGGGAGGGCCCCCTGGCCTATGCACGTATTACGGGACTGAGACTCTAGGGGTTAAAGAAAGTTCTCCCAATAGCAGTGGCTGTTAGTGAAGGCTCTCAAGGGCATTTTCTGCTCCTTCCACAGCCAAGCACCATAGTGGGAATTAGGCCAATAGAAGATGCTGAGCACCCCCTCCTTACGAGTCTCTAGGTCACATCAGGGGTGGGCTGTGGTATCACCAGGGCTCACCAATTACCCAGATGGATGTGCAGGCAGACTAACTCATATAAGGAGGTCAATCTGAGCCTCACAACATATACAGAAACTAATTCAGGAGGGACCATGACCTAAATGTGAAAGCTATAACAGTCAGGCCTGTAGAAGAGAACAGGAGAATATCTTCATAACCTTGGGACAGGCAAAGATTTCCTAAACAGGTCACAAAAATACTAACCATAAAAAAGAAAAGATTGATAAATTGGAATCATTAAAATTAAGAACTTGTGGGACTTTCCTGGTGGCGCAGTGGATAAGAATCCGCCTGCCAATGCAGGGCACACAGGTTCGATCCCTGGTTCAGAAGATTCCACATGCCGTGGAGCAACTAAGCGCGTGCGCCACAACTACTGAGGCTGCGAGCCACTACTACTGAAGCCCGTGCTCCTAGAGCCTGTGCTCTGCAGCAAGAGAAACCACCGCAATGAGAAGCCTGTGCACTGCAACAAAGGGTAGCCCCCGCTCGCCACAACTAGAGAAAGCCCATGTGCAGCAACGAAGACCCAACGCAGCCAAATATAAATAAATAAATAAATAAAAATAAATAAAATTAAAATTAAGAACTTGTGTTCATCAAATGAGAACATTCAGAGAACAAACAGGCAAGCTGAGAAAAAGTCATTTATATTTAATAAATGATTTATATCCAGAATATATAAAGAATTTCTACAAATCAATAAGAAAAAGATAGGCAACTTGTTAAAAAAAATGGACAAGAGACTTGAATAGATACTCCACAAGAGAGGATACAAAATGGCCAATAAATACCTGAAGATGTGCTCAACATTACTGACCATCAGAGAAACGCAAGTTAAACCACAAGGAGATACCACTATACTAGAAGGGCTAAAATTTAAAAGAGATAATACCAAGCATTGCCAAGGATGTGGGAAAACGTGGAACTCTCTCACAATGCTGGTGCGAGTGTATATGGGTAGAACCATCTCTGGGAAAAGTTCGGTAGTACACACTAGCTAAACATGTGTGTACCCCAGTGACCCAACAATTCTAACACAGATAAGTGCTTATATCCATCAAGTCACATGTACAAAAATGTTCCTAGCAGCTTTGCTCCTCCTAATAGTCCAGACCTGGAAAAAACACAAATGCCCATCAATAATAGAACGGGTGAACTGTGGTCCGTCACGCGATGAAACACCAGCCAGCAATGAGAGCAAAGAACTACCATTACTCACAACCTTCAGGGATGAGTCTCAAGAATGTAATTCCTTTTCTTGTTTTTTTGGCCACGCAGCATGTGGGATCCTAGTTCCCCGACTAGGGATAGAACCCTCCCCCATGCATTGGAAGTGCAGAGTCTTAACCACTGGACCACCAGGTAAGTCCCTCAAGGATATAATTTTGAGTGAAAGAATTCAAGATACAAAAGAGTGCATATTCTGTGCTTCCATTTATGTGAAATTGAAGAACAGGCAAAACTAATCTATGGTGATCAAGGTCCACGCAGGGGTAAGGACTGGAAGGGGCATGAGGCAGGCTGCTGGGCGCTGAAAATATTCTATATGTTGATCCAGGAGGCGGTTACAGCAGTGTATACACACAGAAAGCTCACTGTTTATAAGTTATACCACATCCAAAAAAAACTTATAAAAAAGGGGGGGCTGTCCCGCTGCTGCCCTTAGCACTGAGTAAATGTTGCGTGAACGTCTTGAAGGACTGGTCCGACCTCAGAGGCAATCATATTCTTTCCCCAGGTGGACCCCTGGCCCGGTCTGGCAGTGCCAGTTCCACAGGCTAAAGGAGTGAGAGGGGCTGGGTCTTCCTTATATCCCGCACCCGGCTGAGCAGACAGCAGATCCTCCCCCAGCCCCTCTGAAGTGATGCTACTCGCCCAGCCTCCCTCCCTCCCCGTCCCCCTCCCCAGGACTCACCAATCTGGTCATTGCCGTTGCAGGAGGCAAAGTGCAGGGCTGTGCGGCCCTTGTCGTCAGCTGCACAGGGATCCGCGCCATCTTCCAGCAGCTGCCGCGCTGGCACCACGAAGACAGAGGGAGCAAGTGGAGAGAGCGGCAGTGTTAGCCCCGGGGCATAGACGGGGATGCTCAGGGGCCCTTCCAGGCAAGGCATTGACAATGCTTGGGAGAGCTAGTCCCTCCTAGATGCTGGCCCCATGGGGACTGCCATGACAAGGGACTTGTTCTCCTGAGGGCACAACTGAGGGCCCGTATTCTGGGTGCTCAAACTACGTGTCTAGGGATAAAACATCATAGAAGAATCTCGGCCCTCAGGGTCAGAAATCTGGGAGCCATGGAAATCCCCAGCGTAGACTCTGGCCCCGCCCCTCTCCCTGCATCTGGCTGCACATCCATTCCAGCTGGACACAGCCGAGCGAGCTGTGGGCTGATTCTTACTTTGCTCCCAGGAGGCAGCCCTTTAGAGTGGACGGAGCACAGGCTCTGCCACACAGACCAAGTCCCAGGCTAAACTAAGCAAAAAGGAAAGGAGTTCATTGCCAACAGCATGGGGCAGTGCGAAGGCCTAGATTTAGGCCCCCATTCACCAGCGAATGGGAGGAATCTCTGCCCTGCTAACCTCCAGAGTTGCTGTAATGAGAATAATGGATGAGAAATTCCGTCCTTGAAAAGTACAGAGCCATTATAAAATGTGAGGCATTATGTATTACACGCCCACGTCCACTGAAAGGCAGAAATTGCTACCAAACATCATTCAGAGCAAGAAACAAAATGCTCTAGTAACCCCCCAGCAAACCCCTCAAGGACTTGAGCCCTTCCAAATGGAATCCAGGTGTCTCCTGCTTTGTGAATCTCTCTCATCTCCTCAAGCTGAGTGAGCTGCCCCCTCTCCTGCGTCCCCATAGTGCCCTGTTCATCCTGCTACTCTCACATTAATATGCTGTGCTCTTTTAGAGTAACTACGACTGTAGACGGAGCACCAGCCAGGCGTCAGGTACCTGACTGCCAAACCACTCAGCACAGTATCACGTCCATGGCACAGATCAGGAGACAGACTCCAGCCCAAGCCAACAGGAGGCCAAGCTGGGATAGGAACCCAGGTTTCTCTGGCTCGAGAACTTACACCTCTCCAACTAAATACAGGACTTCAGTTTCCTCGGGTTTTTGTTTTTTTTTTCTTAGAAGTGGTGTTGCTTTATGCTCTTCTTCTCCAACTATTCTGTAGGTTTTTTTTGTTTTGTTTCTTAATATCTTGGACCCAGATATGACTTGCCCTGCTCCACAAATGTTGCTGACTGACTGAATAAATGAACGAATGAAGGTGGTGGGAAAGGGTTATGAGAGTGGAGGAGAAGGAGAAGCTTCCAGTCACCTCCGTGTTCGTCACCAAACGAGAGCCAGTATCCAAGAGATAAAGCAAAGCTAAAATAGTTCCAGTTTTGTGATTTGTGCAGCTATAGTCTTTATGGAAAGCACTTTAGCAACATCTGTCAGAAGCCATCAAGATGGGCGTATCCTTTGATGTAACAGCCCCATTCCTGGGAAATGAGTGCAAACATGTGACTGACTAAATAACTCTTGCTTTGTCCCTCTGAAGGCATCATGTGCATCCACTATAAACTGTGGTCGTAACTGAGGCCTGGAATTGCAAGGTGATTTCTACTTTTTACTTTATAAGCTTCAAAAAAATTGTACAGCTACATATTCATTCTATAAATAGGAAAAAATAACGCTTCTGTTTTGAAAAAATAAATGGTTATGAAGCCTATGAAAAATGTTTATGATATACAAAACATTATGCGGGCTACAAAATTGTGTATACAGCACAGTTTGCAAGCCCTTCAAGAAAATTCCTCTGCATAGGAAAAAGGACAGGAAGGATATTCGCCAAAATATTAACAGAGATTCCTTTGCTGACATTAAGGATGTTTTTCATGAAGATTTTTCTAATTTTCAAAACACTTTAAATGCACATATTATTTTCACATTTAAAATCTTTTAAAGGATTATGAATTCACAGAAAGGCACTTACGATTTAACGATAGCAGGGTATAAATTTTACATCCACTGTAATTGCTAACCTATACCAAAAAAACCAACAAACATGCAGAGAAAGATTAAACAAAATGCTAACCATACAGGAAAAGGAATGAAGAGGCTAATCTACAGCCACTTTTGCTGTCAGAGTCCTGCAAGAGCCTGGTAAATCTAAGAGCCACTTAGATTTGAAGATGGGTGTGTCACAGACTCTGAATGGAAGATTGCAGCATTTCCACCAAAATAATAAAACCACCATGTGGACACCTGATTCAAGATAAACTAGATGTGGAACTTCCCTGGTGGCGTAAAGGCTAAGAATCTGCCTGCCAATGCAGGGGACACGGGTTCAAGCCCTGGACCAGGAAGATCCCACATGCTGCGGAGCAACTAAGCCCGTGTGCCACAACTAGTGAGACTACGCTCCAGAGCGCACGAGCCACAACTACTGAGCCCACGTGCCACAACTACTGAAGCCCACATGCCTAGGGCCCGTGCTCCACAACAAGGAGAAGCCACCACAATGAGAAGCCCTCGCACCACAACAAAGAGTAGCCCCTGCTCACCACAGCTAGAGAAAGCCCGTGCACAGCAACAAAGACCCAACGCAGCCAAAAATAAATTAAAAAAAAAAGATAAACTAGAATATAGCCAGTATTTTATAATAACTATAAATGGAGTATAACCTGTAAAAATTGTGAATCTCTATACTGTACACTTGTAACTTATATAATATTGTACATCAACTATACTTCAATTTAAAAAAGAGAGAGGGACTTCCCTGGTGGTCCAGTAGTTAAGAATCTGCCTTCCGATGCAGGGTACGTGGGTTCGATCCCTGGTCAGGGAACTAAGATCCCACATGCCACAGGGCAACTAACCCGAGCGCCACAACTACTGAGCTCACGCGCCTCAACTAGAGAGCCTGCAGGCCGCAACTTACAGAGCCCACGTGCCGCAACCTACAGAGTCCATGTGCTCTGGAACCCGTGCGCCACAACTACAGAGCCCACGTGCCCTGCCCTGGAGCTTGCATGCCACGACTAGAGAAGAGAAAACCCACACGTCACAACTAGAGAGAAGCCCACGCGTCTCAACAAAAGATCCCGCATGCCTCAACTAAGACCCAACGCGGCCAAAAAAAAAAAAAAATTAATTAATAAACCTATAAGTAAACAAATGTGAGAAAGAAAATAAAAGAAAATAAACCCATTTAAAAAAAAAAGATAAACTAGACTTTCTGTGAAATGGAGGTATAATTGAAATATTCTCTGGCCACACACTCAAGATATTAAAAAGAGAACACATCATCTTTCCTTGAAAAGCTATATAGGTTGCTACCCAAATATTCCACAATATTAAAGTTCATGGAAAAGAGATAAAAGTGGAGAGCGCTGAAAAGCCCTCCAGTTCCCAGGCCTGCTCACTATGCTCTGCCAGGGATAAGGGACCCACTCTAGGCCTGTGTTTTAACGCCCAGCTCCCTGAGGGGAACGACCTTCTCTCCACGCCTGCTGTAAACAGGCTCTCATCCCTCGGCTGACTTTGAAGATGAAGGTAGAAGACTACGAGCCAAGGAATGCGGGCGGCCTCAGAAGGCGGAAAAGGCGGGGAAACAGATCTCCCTTGAGCCTCCAGAAAGAAATACAGCCCTGCAGACACTTTGATTTCAGCCTGGTGGGACCTGTGTTAGACTTCCGACCTATAGAACTGTCTGATGATAGACTTGTGTTGTTTTACATTATCTTTGTGGTAATTTGTTACAGCAGCCAAAGAAAACCCATATACCACTTTTCCCTGATTCACAGAAAGAATTAAGTCAGTGGACACAATTAAAATTTTTTTCCTATAGCTTGTCTTGTAGCTTTGATGCTGCTACTGCCCTGTCAGCTAGCAAATGGTGAAGAGCAACAACAAAAAACAAAGTGGTGTCCTGCTAGGAGCGTCTCCCATGCCTTTCAGATGTTCTGTCAACTGAAGTTTGAGAACCACTGACCCAACTACCACAAGGCCTCAGGGAGCAGTTGAAGGTGGTGGCTCTCCTGGCACTTCAAATTGACTATTCATTCCCATTAACCACAAGTTCCAAAAAGCTCCTACTCTGCGGCTGGGTGCCAGGGATACAAAAGCAGACATGGTCCCCACCACCATGGAGCCCACAGGGTGATAAACGCTATGACATCAGGAAGTACAGGGTGACAGGGAAGCATGGGAAGAGTGAGCATCTGAGCCAGACTTGTCATCTGCAAGATGACTGCAGTTATACAATAAGTACAGCGAGCCTGGTCCTAGGGGTGAGCCAGCAGAATTCAAGCACTGTCTTCCCAGGTATCGGTTACCTGGATTTTTCCTTCCCCGACCAGACCAGGGAGCTGGACTCACTCCGCACACTCACCTGTTTCCACATCGTTGGCATTGGCTGAGTCCCTCAGCCTCTTCAGAGCTGTGAAGACAATAAGAGTGCCAGTTAAAAAAAAAAACAAACCAGCAACGGCCATGATGAAGCAAAAAGTGATGGCTTCCTAGCTACCCACCACTCAGCCACAATGGCATCTAAAGAGAAAGAAAGGGGCCAGGATACAAGTGACACTACCCCGGGAACCAGGAGAAACCTGAAAGGTGACACAGCTGGTGCAAAAGCCACATTTTGTAGCAAATCTTCCAAGGCCTTTGGAGCCAGATCTTGGCTCTGCCACTCGTCGGAGCTGGGTGACCGTGAACAAGTTAGTTAACCCCCTGGGCCTCAGGTCTATCACCTGCAAAACAAAATTGAGCTCTTTCCTGACAGGCCTGAGTTGTTGCAAAGACCAAATGACGTGATTTACACGGAAGCGCTCTGTGAGCTGGTTACACAGATAATTTTATATCCTCTTTCAAAACAGAGCACTCCCAAATGACTTACTTAAATTTGATGATTCCTATGGAGAAACTTTTTTCTCCACAATGACACTACCTGTATATTAGAGGCTAATAGAAAGCAATGCCTTTATCATCAGAGAAATGGACAAAAATTGCAATTCATATATATAACGATTCCTTACATTCATACAGCACTTTCAAAATTTCATTTAATCTTCATAACACCACTAAGATATGAGTAGGTATTAAAGGGCCCCTAAAAGTCCCCATTCTTAAAACTTTCAGGGTGTTGGTTTCCATGGCATCCATAAAATGTAAAAGACAATATGGTAGAAGTACCAGAGCAGGAGTTCTAATACCAGCATAGCCAATTTCCAGCTATGTGACTTGGAGCAAGACAATTTCTCTGAACCTCAGTTTCACCTTCAGTAAAATGGGAACAGTATCTGGATCTCAGTGAGTTATGACAAGGATCAGAAATGATCAGAAACCACCCAACAGTGTTTGGCACACAACAAAGGCAGAATAATAACTATATATTCCTTACCTTACTTAATAACTCTGGCAACGTCCCTGTAAAGCATACCATACCCATTCTACAGATGAGAAAACTAAAGGTGAAAGGTTCTGTAGTTTGCGTAAGACCTAAATGAGATAGAAAAGTCCAATCCAGGTCTGTGCATTTAAAGAAATAAGTTGGTAGGACTTGGCTCTGATATCATAATATTCTCCAGTATCCCATTTATTATCTACAAATAAACACCTGGAGTCAGGAAAAGTTTCTATTCAGTAACTACCAAATGTGAAAAGCCACCGGGACTGGTTCTGAGCAGGAAGACTACTTTTTTTACACTCATGGTCCTTAGCAGCTATAATTCTACTATTGGTACTGAAAGTGGACTCAGGGGTCACTCCAGGTCCGTAACTCAGACGTCGGAGGACACCATCCTGAACGGGCTGGGGAGATCAGGGCCCGATTCTCAGCCGAGGGCCAGCCCCGCCTCCCGCCGCGCTCCTCACCGTGCACCTCCTTGCCCGTGGGCCCGAGCCGGCGGTGGGGCCTGGCGGCGCGCCTCAGCCGTCCGGAGGGGATCTTACAGAGCAGCTCATCGCGGGGCTCCGCCTCCTGCTGCCACAGGACGTGAAGGTAGCGTAGCGGGGACTGGGCCCCGCCGGCCGCCCGGCCCGGGAGCCCCGCGCCGCCGCCCAGCACAGACCCGAAGTCGGCGAAGGAGAAGAGGCCCTCGGGACCCGTCAACGGCTCCGGCGCCACCGCGCACTCGCCATCCGAGCTCGAGCGGCCAGAGCGCGACTCTTCGTCCGCGCCCCCGGCGGCGGCTGCCATGGCAACGGCTCCGTGCTGGCCTGGCCGCCGGAGCCTCGTCCTTGAGGAACCGACCGACCCGCTCCCCTCCGCCCTAAGGCTCGCTGTCAGAGGACAAGCGGGCGGGCCTGGTCTGCAACCACGGCAACCGAACGGGGGGCGGGCTCGGGCCTCAAGCGGGGCAGTTCCGGACCAATGAAGAACCTTCCAGCCTAAACCCCACCCCCTACAGCCAAACGGGAGTAGTACGGGCCGAAGAACTTGGTTCGCTGCAGCGTGACTGACGGATATAAGAACCAATCATAAATTTGAGATGCCCAAGTCCTCGCCGTACGTCCCTAAGCGGAGCCAATAAAACAGCGGAGTTTAAGACACTTTTTTTTTCTCCCCATTTCTCCCATCGGATCAAGGGAAAGATAACTGGCAGATGCCCTAGCCAGTCATGTTAAGATGATTTGCAGCCAATCACAAAGGAAAGTGAAGAAGGCAAAGGAAAGGAATTGAGAGATAAGAAAATGTGTAAATCAATGACCGTTAAAAAAAAAAAACAACACAGAACTTCCCACAAATACAGAATGTAAGTAGGAAAGTGAGAATATGTTAAAATGTGGCGCTAGCAACACGAACTGTGGAGTGATAGTTTCTAAATGCGATAGATCCCGTTCGTTCTCTCGGTAACTCTGGGGTTGATCACTGATTTACAAAGAATTCTATAATTCAACACCAGAGCGACCGACGCTTGAGTCCGAGAGCCAGTCACTGACCCAGGTAATTCTCTGTGCTAGGTCCTGGACGCAGAATCAGACTCGGTGCCTTCTGAGACGCTCAAGTGGGATGGGAGAAGTCAGAGCCGGAAGCGGAAGTGTACCGCAAACAGCTTATGATGAGCTTAGCAACCCCTCCCAGGTGCACTGTTTTGTAGAATTTTCACAACCCTGAATCCCACAAACACTGCTATAAAGTGAGCAAGGAGGACCATCCCTATTTTATAGACGAGGAGCTGAAACCAGAGAGATCACGGACTTGTTCATGGAGGCCCAGCTGTCTTGAGAGGAAGGCTGTGTCCAGGCAAAAGTTGTTCCTTGTCATTCAATGCAGTGAAAATATAATCTTGGGCTTCCCTGGTGGCGCAGTGGTTAAGAATTCGCCTGCCAATCCAGGAGACACAGGTTGGAGCCCTGGTCCGGGAAGATCCCACATGCCGCAGAGCAACTAAGCCCGTGCGCCACAACTACTGAGCCGGCGCTCTGGAGCCCGCGAGCAGCAACTACTGAAGCTCTTGCGCCTGGAGCCGGTGCTCCGCAGCAAGAGAAGCCACCGCAATGAAAAGCCCGCGCACCTCAACGAATAGTAGTAGCCCCCCGCTCGCCACAACTAGAGAAAACCCCGCGCAGCAGCGAAGACCCAACTCAGCCAAAAATAAATAAAGAAAATTAGAAAAACAAAAAGAAAATGTAACCTTTCTCTGACAGTTGAAAAACACTTCCAGATTTTGCAGTGTTCTCAGAACACCACTATGAGGTTTATCATTGTAATGTATGGAGAAAAATGTTTATTTGAACTCTCCTCCTCTGCCCGATGCGGGAGAAGGACATATGGCAACTCCACTTGTAGCTAGAAGGAAACCGAGGAAAGAAATAAACATTGAACGCGTACCATTTACCAAGTGCTTGATATGTATTTTACCATTTAGTTCTCCTTCACAAGAGTCTTAGCAGGTAGATATTATTATAACCACTTTGCAGATTAGGGAATTGTAGTCCCTAGATGTCATATGAATTGTCCAGGGGTACGGGACTAGAAATTTGAAGGACTGGGATTTGAACCCAGAAAAGTCTTCTCTTTCCATCACGCTGATCTCTTTAATGAAGAGCCTACTGGAAATCTGCCTCCAGAAAATTTAAGTGACATCTGGATATGTATACCTCACTCCTGCTGAATGTACCCTGAAATAACTTTATTATTCATTTCTCCTCTTTTTCCATGTAATAACCTCCAAAATAGTCGTCATCCCTCCAGTCCCTCTGTGAAGAACCAAAGGTGTACTTGCTGTGTAAAGTACAATTCTCTTCACATCTCTAGCATCTGCTCGCCCATTGAGCTCAGGCTAAAGTCCAAACCTTTTATCCTAGCAGTCAAGACCCTTGATGATTCTGACCCAGTTGTCTTTGCAATCAGTGTCTTTCTCCTACCAGTGGGTCTTCAAACCATCTGGTCTACAAAGATGTTTGCATTGTCAGAAATCTTTTAATTTAAACAGGATCCCTAAACATCTAGGGGTGGCTGTTACTTCTAATTTTTAAATCAACTTTGTTGAAGTACATAGCCCAACCCTCTGTGTGTTGCAAGAACCACTTGTTATTTTGGACTGGAAGAACGGGATGTGGGCTGAATGTGGACCCAGTTAGCCTCACCAGCAGGATTTTAGACTGGAACTTGGGTCTATGAAGTTGTATTCCCTCATAATGCCTGGCTCAGCAACTGGCACCAGCATGTTGTAGCTATTTGACTGACTGACTGACTGATTAAATGAATGAATGAGTAAAAACAGTGGCCCAGTGGTTAAGACCATGAGTTTTGTTGGTTTGTTTTAATATATTTATTTATTTATTTTTGGCTGAGTTGGGTCCTCGTTCCTGCGCGTGGGCTTTTCTCTGGTTGTGGCAAGTGGGGGCTACTCTTCATTGCGGTGCGCGGGCTTCAATAGTTGTGGCTCGCGGGCTTAGTTGCTCCGCGGCATGTGGGATCTTCCCGGACCAGGGCTCAACCACTGTGCCACCGGGGAAGCCTCAGACCACCAGTTTTGAAGCCACAATTGAGTGGGTTTATAGCTTTGAGCAAGTGACTTTCCTTTGCTTATCTTCAGTTTCCTTATCCATAAAATGAAGGTAAGAGTACTACCTATATCGGACATCCCGGGTGGCGCAGTGGTTAAGAATCCGCCTGCCAAGGCAGGGGACATGGGTTTGAGCCCTGGTCTGGGAAGATCCCATGTGCCGTGGAGCGACTAAGCCCGTGCGCCACAACTACTGAAGCCTGCGCGCCTAGAGCCCGTGCTCCGCAACAAGAGAAGCCACCGCAAGGAGAAGTTCACGCACTGCAACTAACAGTAGCCCCCGCTTGCCGCAACTAGAGAAAGCCAGCACGCAGCAACAAAGACCCAATGCAGCCAAAAAAAATAAATACATAAATAAATAAAAGAGTAGTACCTATATCATGTGGCTATCACAAGGACTAAATAAATAATGTGAGTAAAGCACCTAGTACAGAGCTGGGTACAGAATTAGGGATCAAAATATGGTAGCTATTGTTCTTATTATAAAAAGTTTAGATGCAGGCTAGGGCCCGTGCAAATCCTATGCAACTGTGGGCACATAACACTGGCATGAACTTGACCTAAGGGTGCTGCAAGCATGCATACACAAGTCACTTATGTTTGGTCAATCAGCAAATAGAACATGAAGCACTTAACAGGAGACAAAGAAAGTACCTGTAATGTTGCTTTGGGGGAGAAGCTTCTGCCTGGGAATCCAAGAGCTTGTGTTCTCAGTCCTACTCTGCCGTGACTCACCTCATGATTTGGGGGCAACTGTTTCCTTTCTTTGGGCTTCAATCTTCCCATCAGAAGGTATTGTTCTAGGTCAGCTACTGACACTGGCTCAGGCTGGCTTGGCTTTCCTTTTATTCTTTCCCTCATCCTGTTGGCCTACACAGTATTTTATTTTTTTGCTTTTGTTTTATATTTTATTTCTTTGTATCAACAGGGGCACAAGAGAAAAGATCGAAAAGCAGGTTGTCCCTGCTGTCTCAATGCCACCAGCCGCTTCCTTCCCGTGGCTTCAGATGTGATAAAGAAAGCTGTGGCTTTCTGTAGTTTTATCCACAGTTATTTTTTTTCCCAAAATACCACAAATGTACTTTATTTCTTCCCATTCACCTAAAGCAAGTTAATTAATTAATCAAAATAATCAGTGAATTTTCTTTTTTTTTATGCCCAAATCACAGTTTATTATGTTTTCTTTTTAATATCTTTATTGGAGTATAATTGCTTTACAATGTTGTGTTAGTTTCTGCTGTACAACAAGGGAATCAGCTGTATGTACACATAAATCCCCATATCCCCTCCCTCTTGCGTCTCCCTCCCACCCTCCCTATCCCACCCCTCTAGGTGGTCACAGAGCTAACCTCCCTGTGCTATGCAGCAGCTTCCCGGTAGCCGTCCATTTTACCTTTGGTAGTTTATGTATGTCTGCTACTCTCTCACTTTGTCCCAGCTTCCCCTCCTCCCGCCCCCCCCCCCCCCCCCCCCCCCCCGCCTCCCCGCCCCCAGCCCCGTGCCCTAAAGTCCGTTCTCTACGTCTGCGTCTTTATTCCTGCCCTGCCACGAGGTTCATCAGAAACATTTTTTTAGATTCCATGTATGCTACACAATATTTAAGAGCAATTTGAACTAGTTGCCAACATATAAAAACTGAGAGCTTTAACATAAAACTTTTGATTTCTAGATTCTCTTAAAAATGAGAAGAGGGAATTCCCTGGCGGTCCAGTGGTTAGGACTCTGCACTTTCACTGCCGAGGGCCGGGGTTCAGTCCCTGGTGGGGAACTAAGATGCCCCAAGCCGCGCAGCGCGGCCAAAAAAAATAGACAGAAGATATGGCAATACAGGACTAGTTGGCTGGAGCTGCACAGCAACTCTCCTCTTGAGATGGAGCGTGCTGCAGTCCCCACCACTCTCCTACTCTCTGTTACCTCCACATTGAGGCCTAAATACAATTGCCATCTATCCTCATACTTTTCATACTTTTGATGTTGTTTTTCTTTTTTTTCTTTGCGCCACACAGCTTGTGGCATCTTAGTTCCCCGACCAGGGATCGAACCCATGCCCCCTGCAGTGGAAGCTCGGAGTTGTAACCGCTGGACCGCCAGGGAATTCCCAGTGACGTTGTTTTTCTTAAATGGAGTTAACAGGAAATTAAAATATCGCTTGTCTTTATCAAATGTGGAGTAATGAAAACTAGTGTGGAGGAAAATTATTTAGTGTCTAAAAACATGACATACAGTGATTATGTGACTCCCTAATGTCATGCTAGAGTATTTCTAATAAACCCACATAAGGGACATCTGACTCTCTGGGGAAGTTTAACTTTGACTAACAATTGACTAGGACTCGGTGATGTTTTATAAATCTGTAAAGTTAGAAGTTAGCTTTTAGGAAACTGATAAGGTGCAATAATTTCTGTATGTCCAATGGAGAAGATAACCCCAAAGGTTATGGTTTTATTATTCTGTAGGGCAGGAAACAGATTTGGATC